CAGCACTGCCTTCATCAGATATATATATATATATATATATATATATATATATATATATATATATATATAAACACACGTTTAATACACACAAACATAAATAAAGCAATATTAATACGCCCAGCTGCACTGTATGTGCTGCAGGTTATTAATATGATCACATCAGAATCTACAATATAAGCATTAATTAATAATCATTTGCATGTTAACTGAGTGCAGGAGATGATGAGGACACATACACTGAATGCTGACACACAGCACAGCGCGGTCTCTGCACTCTCCAGCATCGGGAGCTGGATTCAGCAGTCGTGTGCAGAAGCTGGAGATGCGCTTAATGTTTAATAAAGGAGTTATCATTAGCTGATCTCTCTGTATATGATATACATTCACACACTCCTCCTGTTTCTGTTCCTCTGACGGCCACTGGGGGTAAGGTGACTGCGCTCTGTGTGATTTATTCGCTCATAAGCACTCACTGTTTGACGTTTTCTCCAATGGCATCTGTTAAATTCTTCTTGGCGATTTCCAGTTCACTCGCGTGAGCCGCCATGTTGGCTCCGGAAGCTGCGGTGACGCGCGCTTCTTCGTTCGCCTCTTTTCCGCTTCCAGAGTTCGTCGCGCGCGCGCCGCCTGCTGCTCACTATAGGGCTGCGCGGTTTGGGGGAATATCTAACTGCGTTTTTAAACAGATGCTGCGGTTTCCAGTCGATTTGCCATTTAATTTGTAGTCAAGCTTCAGCTCAAACACCTGTATCATCGCTTCTTACTGCATACATGGCTTATACAGGTGCTGGTTACTGTATTTCCTCCTGCCGGCAACACTTCTGCAACAACTCTTACAGATGACCTGTTTTTGTTCAGTGTTCAGGACTTATTTCCATATTACCAACAGCTATTTATTTTACTAATTCATCTATCAATGCTTCTGGAGCAGCAGACGCCATCATCATCTCATTTATCCACACTTTCCTGTTTGTTTGTTTGTTTGTTTGTTTGTGTGTTTGTTTGCTTGTTATTGTGGCCGTTCCGCATAGTTCAGTTGCGCAACTCTGATTGGGCAGAGTGAAAGTGTGCTCCCTCAATTGGCTTATTAGACTGTCACACACAGACGGCACGACAGTCACGCATTTGCGAAATTAAATAATACACATTTCATATCGCAGCCTCTTACCATTAGATAACGCAAAGTTTCAAATCGCAAAATCGCACAACCCTAACCTCTACTCTCTCAACTACTTTCCTGAAAAAACAAACAAACATTCATTTACACTATACTGCAGTGTTTCTGTCCACAGTACAGCAACTGATCTGTTGTGGTGATTCTACAGTTGCTATGGTAACACAACAACTATAGCAACTGATCTGTTGTGGTGATTCTACAGTTGCTATGGTAACACAACAACTATAGTAACTGATCTGTTGTGGTGATTCTACAGTTGCTATGGTAACACAACAACTATAGTAACTGATCTGTTGTGGTGATTCTACAGTTGCTATGGTAACACAACAACTATAGCAACTGATCTGTTGTGGTGATTCTACAGTTGCTATGGTAACAACAACTATAGTAACTGATCTGTTGTGGTGATTCTACAGTTGCTATGGTAACACAACAACTATAGTAACTGATCTGTTGTGGTGATTCTACAGTTGCTATG